ATAATTTTTATTGTTTTAAGGGGGGGAATACAAGTCTAACACAAGGATTTTGTGTTACAAGCAAACAGTTTCAAAATATATTACCAAAATGAATTTCATTTGTCATCAAATCAAATGGTTTTAAATTGTGTTTAAGTAACATCAAGTCACCAGTAGTATTTCAAAATATTAAATTCTTTAAATGATTTTATAAACTTATATTTTTCCCCAAAAATCATATATATATATATATATATATATATATATATATATATATATATATATATATATAAGATTTAAAGGGCTTAGGACTGATAACTCACTTTGGTTCCTTTTCCTTGTTTGGATGTGGGCTTATAGTATCGGTTAATTGTGCGAATGTCGTTTAAATTTTAGTTATATATATTTGTATATGTATATAAATATAAAAGTTATTTCATTCAGTTTCAATACCCTTTATAACATGTCGAGCAAGGGGTTACATTCATGAACAGTTAGTATCAATTCAGAAAGTACATATAAATTATAATAGGTATAATTTATGATTCATAGAACATTAATTCACGATTCAAGTATACTAGAGTACACCATTTTACAAGAACAAGGGTTTGATTCAAAACTAATCAAGAGTATACATCTTTCAAATACATGTTAAAAATACTAATTCAGGAACATACGATCAATCATTTATTTCAGAATGATTGGGTTTTCATTATACACGTAACGTCTATATGCTTTTTATGAGTCAATAGATTCAGGTTGTTTATTCATTTAAACAACATAGTTAAAGTCCTGACATTATAACCAAAATCTCTAGTTGGGGATCGAAACAAGTGTGTATAGATCTATATTGGGATTGACAACCCCGCACTCAGACTGCTAGCTACAGTTGGGCACACACGCCTACGAGTGACAGTTGTTATCAACAATTTTTAACGCCTTCAAAGCGTTTTTTCAGGCCATCTAGTCTCAGTATGGTTATAATAACTCATTAAAAAGATATTAACAATACGGTTAGTGTATAATTAACTAAACATGAGTACATTTTCAAAGTACTAGTTTACTAAAATACAGTTTACAGTATTACATCTCGGTTTACAATAACAGTTGCTGAAGCCAGGCACACTCACTTTTACAGGCTATACAAAAGAATACAATTACAGAACATTGGTTTACAAACAGAACAATTTTATGTGATTAAAACTACTATTCATACAGCATAAAATATAGGATTTTTTGGAACAGTTTACATAATCAAGAAACAGAAAACATACTTTCAAACATAAATACTTATGCACTCACTCAACTTTATGTTGATACTCTCTTTTCAAATTACTTGTATTCTCAGGGAGTCAGTAGACATGTACTCCCCGAGCTTTTAAGAAGATGGAGCTATTTTGAGTCATGTCTTCTTCTTTTCTATAACTATTTTGGTGTCAATATACAGTGATTGAACGCATGTAAAAACTTGTACATATTAACGCAATGGTTGTTTGTACTTTGATTACTATAATGCATGTGTTGTGATACTACAAATGAAGTCATCCACCCCCGGACGTTTCCACCGTCTGGTTTGGGGGTGTGACAATTATTACATTGGAATTTAATAAAATAGAAAAACTCATAAAATGACATGTAGAAAAAAATTAATTCAAAATAACCACAAAATGACATTTGGCAAATTGAATGAAAGTGTGACAAGTAGCAAAAAAACCTTCATTTATTAGAATAGATAAATTACTCTAAAATGGTAATTTTTCCGAACCCGACCCATAATATAGTTTAAGTATGTGGTTTTTTAATATTTAAAATAATTTGCTACCCATTTAATAAGAGCAAACTTTAATATTAGCAAGAGAAAAAAGTACTTACTTTTTTAGAAAGAAAGGATTACAAAGATAAACTCATGAATAGTTTCCGATATATAAATAGTGACTTGTTATTTTGATGAATCATTTCTTCAAACCCAAGAAGATTACGTAAACACTTACTCGAAATCTCACTTATCATATTCCTTTGTGGAAGACATATTTTTTCTAAAGAATTTTTTATGATATATCTAATTAATGCATAATACCATGAAAAATGGAAACAAAATTTGATTGCTATTTAGTATTGGCAATATATAAAAATAAAGTCTATAGATATTTGTACCAGATTGGAAGCAATCAAGTTTGTCATATATGTTTGGAATAGATTTTGTTTTAAGGAACTTGAATTGGCATCTTACTATTAAAAAGTTATGTATTTGGGTTGATTGATTGACATAGTCTGATTTTCCTTTATGGCTTTATAAACATGTTTGGTTGATGGTTTTATTATTATGAAAATGAAATTTTTGGTTTTAAAATCTAGGACGTTACACGTAGCATTCACTAGAATGGAAAGTAGTGGTAGAAGTGTTGTAAGACTGCAAGGTGGTCGTAGCGTTCACTAGATTGGCATATAGTATAGAAGTTTTTTAAGACTGCATGGTTGTCGTAGCGTTCACTAGATTAGCAGATAGTATAGAAGCGTTGTAAGACTATGGGGGTGGCCAGAGCATTCACTAGGTTGACAGGTAGTGTGGTGGTGTTGTAAGACTACGGGGTGGCCCGTAGCATTTGCCTAGTTCTTGAGCAAGTGTGAGAGTGTGGTAAATCTATGATTTGGCTCGTAGTTTCCTCTAGGTAGGATTAGACCATGGCAGGACATGTCGTGAGATTGTGAAAGGCCACAACATTCATGGAATTAAGGAAGGTTGTGGGCCGTATGAGGCCGGTTGTGATATGAGACTACAATTGGGCATATATCGTTCATTTATAGCAAGGCAGATTTGGTTGCATCAGGTGTGATGGTTGGTTATGTTTGTTGGATTAGGTGTCTAAGCCCATAACTATAATTGGTATGTACTTGACCCGATAGTAGCATGATCCTTTTTGGTTGCCTTCACCATAGCAATTTGATAGGATGAATTATAGAGAAAGAGGTTAATTGTGATTTATTAATATATTATAAGAATAATATATTAATTGAGAAATCATATTATTTAATTAATATTGATCAGAAATTAATTTGGAATTAATTTAGTGATCAAAAGAGATTGATTAAATTAAAGGGGACTGATATTGCAATTATATGATAATTGAAAGTTGGGCTTATAGATCCTTAGGAAGGGGTGGACGAATTTCCTTGTGTAGCCCACTTGGAATTCGTCCATAAGGACCTTCTGGAAGGATCTTGTGGGGTGCTTGAGGATTAAGCAACCAGATTAGGGTTTTAATTGAAACCCTAGTAGCTCAGCTATATAAGGAACCCATGGGGTGCCTAAAATCGGACACTACATTCTAAGAAGGACACCCTAGCCGATTTTGAGCCTCCTAACCTCTCTAATATTCTTCCAACTTGCTACTTGGTGTTTGTGATCCATTTCAGGTGCAACATTTGAGGTGCTAAGCTCTTGAAGGTCAAGATCTACAAGCTACTAGTAAAAGGTACTCTTCTAACTTGTTTTATGTTACATATTTCGAAAATTGTATGCTAGTTAGGGTTCATGCTTTGGATGATTTGATTTTCATGTATAACTTGAGAAAAACATAGATCCAAAGCATTAGGGTAGCATGTACACCATAGGAATGTTGTAGTGATCAAAACCCATCAATGTTATCCTTGGTTGGACCAGGAGGGCTGTTGGATCCATTATGGAAAGCAAGCTAGGACAACTCTTGCCAGATAGACCCTCGTTCAGGAGTCGCGTGGTGCAATTGTGTGAGGCTATCAACATCAACAACCGGTTGGAAATCTGGTATATTGGTTAATTGGTAGGTAAGTATGAGACCATGGAGGTCTCGTTTGCATCAGGAATGTAATTGTGGGGCAACAAGATGAGCCTGAAGTGGTACTAGTGATTGGGTCTCGTGTTAGGAGTCACATTGTTATTAAATATGATAAGTCACATACTCCATAGGTAAAATAATCTCAAAGTGATTGATTTGAACCTACTGCGCAACTCTCGTCTGAGTCTAACCGTTGTAGGGATGAGTATTTTACTCGGATGATTATCTAAGCCTTGTTATCAAGTGAAAAGTTTTCGGTAGTAATGAATGGGTAGGGATTCAGTCTCCCAGTAGAAACAACAAGATAGTCCAGGGTTGGAATGGTTTATGCTCAATTTGGGTTGCGAAGTGGAGTCGATTTGGCAGTGATTCTGAATGGTCTGTCTTTCAGGAAGTCAGACAGGGTTTGGGATTTGGATTTCGGGCAGAGTAGTGATGGCTATTCTTTAGTGGTTAACGCTAGTGGGGTACGGATCCGTTCATCGTCAGGGTATGAGAGCCCTGCTAAGGTTGGGTTTGGTTATAGTTTTGTAAGGCCGTTGTATGTCTGAGTCGACTTTTCAATCCGTATCAAGGTTGTGGGAATATTGTCCAAGTTTTCTGGAGTACCTGGAAGGAAATAAGGAGTGATTTCGAGGACGAAATCGAATTTAAGTGGAGGAGAGTTGTAACACCCGAATTCTCGAGACACATTTCCGTTGTGGATTTGTGGTTTTAGCGGTGGCCATGACGTGGTGGAGGAACCACCACGACGTGGCGAAGTCAAAGTTAGTCGTGTGACTTTTGGACCACCACGGTGTATTTTTTTTTGAAGGAGTGCTCCCTGGTGCCACACTTGGGTATTTTTTTTTGTTTTAATAAATAAAAAGGATCAATAAGGGGGATGTAAGAAAAATGAACCAATCACATTGTTTGAAGGAGTGCTCCCTTGAAATGCCACACTGCACCCCTTCCCGCACCTCTACCGCACCCAGGGGGCGGTGTTCCTGCTGCTGATGTGATACTCAAGTGCGGCAGGGGCCGCAACCCACTCCCTTTGGTCTAAGCCAACTTTAAGTTAGATGGGTTAAGCCAACTTTAAGTTAGATGGGTCAATTTAACTAATTAGTTGAACTTGAAGGGAATTTGGTGGTAAAAAGTGAAATGTTTGCCTGAAATAGCAAAATAAGAAAAGTACAAGTACCTGAATTGTCATTCATCAGAATAACTCGAACCTAGGTGATTACGGCCAAACAGGCAGAGATAAGTCCTGTTGGAAACAAGGCGACGTAACAGTAACCTACCATAGGACTTCAAACCGCCGCCGGCGAAGACGACGGTGACGCAGTCGCCCCTTCGTGTCTTAGCTTACAGGTAACATATTGATTCTTCTTACTCCTAAAAGCATATTCTGTTCTTCGTTCCTCTTCATTAACTTTATATTACCATTACTGGTATTGGTTCCTAATATATTTACAGAAACATTGAACATTTCTTTTGAAGATTGGCGGAACTATGCCGTTGATTCTTGTTGTTTCTTGTTGTGTCGAGTTTTTCTCGATCGAAACATTTTCTAAGACCAGAAATCGCGATACCATAGAAAAAATTGTGTTTTTTTTAGGGGTTTTTGGTTTTTGGTTTATTATGTCATTCTTGTATGATTGATGGTTCATTTCTGTTACACTCTATTGTATTCTTTCTGATCATTACATTCCTTTTAGCTGCAGGGCTAGGGTTTTTCGAAGCCTGAGAGTTAAATAGTTAATGACTATCCAACAATAAGCCTCAAGCATGATGAGAAAGCCTCTAGGGCACAAGGAAAAGTACTCAAACAGACACGAGATCTCACAGAATCACTCCATTGATGGCACAGCTGCAAGAACAAGACCTTATAGCTTCGATGAGATAATGCTTAGAAGGAAAAACAAAAAACTATCTGTAAATGTTGAAGATCAACGAATTGCCTCAGAGATAGTCTACCCTAAAGAAGCTGAGAGTGTCTCTGGTCGTGTAGAATCTGATAGACACAGACAAAGGGATGAACAACATGCTCCTAATGAACCCTTAACTGTAAGTTCAAGAACAAAAGAGAACAAATCCATGAGGGAAGACCAAAAAAGAGTGGAAGGTGAACACAAAGAAAGTGGCGATCTTCAAAGAAGATCAAAGGTTGTTAGTGATAACACAAAAGATAGAAGAAAAGAAAGGGGTGTTCATGACTTTGGTAATGAACATGAAAAGAGACATGGTAAAGATTCTTCAGTAAAAGAAAGGGACAGAAATGTTGAGAGGAATAGAGGGAAATCTGAACATGTCAATAGGCTGAATCAAAATGGATATGATGAGAGAGGTAGAGACAAGAAACTTGAATCAAGAAAAAGACATGAGAGAGAGAAAAGAAGGTCAAATTCACCTTCACCAAGGGGAAATAAACCAAGATTGTATGATGTGAAAGAGCATGAAGAATTGTTATCCTCCACACATTCTTCAAAAGCAGGAAGATTTGATTCCAATATTGACAGAAAAAGGGTATCAAACAATGGTTCAATCAACAAACCTAAAAGACATGATACATCTGTAAGTCGCCTTGGTGGCTATTCACCAAGAAAGAGAAGAAATGAAGCTCCATCTCCAACTGATTCATCACCTGTTAAGATTGAATCAAAAACTCCTAATTCCTTGACTTCTTTTCTTCCAAATTTGGTGTCATTAAACAAAATTGAAGTCCCTAATGTGGTTCCCCTTACTCCAAGTGTTCCAATTCCAAAGCCAACATTTGGAGTTCTTTCATTTCCTTCATTGATGAATGCATCTGTTGACTCTGTTCAGTTGACTCAAGCAACAAGACCTAAAAGAAGGATTTATGTAGAAAACCTGCCATCTTCAGCCTCTGAAGCAGCTGTAGTGGAGTGGCTTAGTGGTTATCTTCGACCTTATGGTTTAAATCATCTTCAAAGCACAAATCCATGTATTAGCTGCATTGTAAGTGTCTCTATTTTGCATGTTTTTGTGATTTGTGAAAGTGAAAAGGTGGAAATGGAATTTTGCTTATTATGGTTTTACTGTAGGTGAATAAGGATAAGTGTCAAGCTCTTGTGGAATTTCTCACACCTGAAGATGCTTCTACTGCTTTAAGTTTTGATGGAAGGTCTTTCAATGGCAATATTCTTAAAATCAGACGCCCTAAAGACTATGTTGAAGCAACTGTAAGACTGATAACCTTTTCCATTTTCATTTTTTCATACATATGTTAATATTTACTTGTTGCATTAGATGGATACAATACCTTATGGTTTCTAATAGCTAAATGCCAATACAAGATCTTGTATTTAATAGAAAGTATCACAAGTTGACGACGACAATGAGACAATGAGTGTCATTTTAGCTGATAAATTACTAGTTTTATAGAAAAATATCTGAGCATAAAACATAAAATCTTGTGAAATCCTTGTTTTAAGAATCTGCATCATGTAACATAGAACATGTGAGTGTAGGGTTTTACAAGATAGCCGTTTGGATATACTCATATCTTATTTTAATTTAAAATTTGATTTTTTTTTTTGGTATCTATGTTTGTTCATGTGTTTAATAGTTTACCTGCAATGAACTTGAGTTATGGGCCCTCTTACTGGGTCTGACTCGGTCAGATTCAGACTGTTTGATATTACACTTAGAAGCCCTCTGATATGCCTTTTACTCGGTTAGATTCAGGGTCGAGGGTTATGTTTGACCTTGACTCAATACTTAATCAACAACTATCAAACAACCCCTTACTGATGACACACTTGGTTGTTTTTTTTATAATTGTGTTGCTAATATTAGGTGTAAGAATTTTGTTTTCACCTTTTATGTGAGTATTTGGCATGCAACTTTAGAATCATAACAACAATTTCATAAAGACTTCCTACAAAAGGAAAAACCAAACAAATAGGAATAAATATAGGGACAATAGAGCAAAAAGTAACAAACAAGGACAAAAATAAATACGAGCCATATAGTAATATAGTAGAAAGTAACAAGCGAATAAAAGGAATACATCGAAAAGTAAAAGAAGGGGTAAATATGTAAATAAAAATGAAAACTAAGATGATTATTTTACGTCTCTACTCTGCACTCCCTCCTATATGAGGTCATGTCCTCTGAAAGATTCAGAGCCAACTCCTTCAAGTCTAACCTCACACCATCTCCTCTGGCGACCTCTTAACTATTACAGTCTCCACCCTCTTCACCGTATGTGTCGGTTCCAAAGTAGCATCGTCATTTCCTCGTTTGTGAAAAAGACGTAAATACCCTTCTCGTCCTGATCATCGATAGTAGCCCTAGAGGTTTGTCTAGTCTAAAGGGATTAGATTAGGATAACGAATAGCAATGTCACAACAATGTTTTCTTTTTATTCATAGCAAAGCTAAGCTATTGATCATCAAAATTTTGAGATATCTTTATTATCCCAAAAATCTATTAACTTGCATTTATTTTATTACCTAATAAACAAAAGTTTATGATGATATTAGCTTATAAATTAAATCCAACTACATTACCTTCCTTTTTATCATTTCTTTGTATAATATCTTGATAATCATCTTTTGTTGAAAAGATATTGTTTCTGACAATCATGTTGGATTCTTAAATAGGCTGTTTATGTTGGGTATATCATAATTCACGTTCAGGATGCTGATGAAGCTGACTCCTATTCCTAACATTACAAGATTTTCAGGTGTAGTGTAAATTGTAAAACGGTAAATGTAATATTTTTTTCCACAAGTATGAGTGGCAATATTTGTGCCTAGTCCTTAAAATAGACTTTCTACACATAGTTAATTTATTCACACTTTTACATTTAATAATCCTTACTAATCCATACTTCCTATGTGAAAAATATGCATTCTTTAATGATTTTTGTATGCTGTGTTCTAGACCTGTGTGTTTTGTTATGGAACTTGCAGATTGATGTCAAAGTAGTGGACATGTATGATGTATCTAGATTTGTAATCTTTTAGTAATATAATATTTTATTTTTATTTTTTAAATATTGGTGTCGATAGTTTCTTGTTTATGTGGTTACTATTTATGTTAGCAGGTTTTCAGACAGTTGCTATTTTCATGCAGACTGGTGTGTTAGAGAAGAAGCAGCCTGTTGCTGTTGCTGTTGCTGGAGGAGCTTTTTCACTTAAAAACATTGTTCAAGATTCCCCTAACAAGGTTCTAGATTTATAGCAATGTACTTTTTATTTTTATTTTTTATTAAAAAAATCAATCAAAGTACATTGTATTTCTCATCAATTGCATATCATCTTTCTTTCAGATTTTCATTGGTGGGATTTCAAAGATTATTACTTCCCAAATGGTAACAAACTATTTCTACATTTAAAAAAAAAACTAAATTATCTTTTTTATAAATAATGTACAAATTATGCTTCACAGATTATGGAGATTGCTAGTGCTTTTGGACCTTTAAAAGCTTTCCATTTTGAACATAATTCAAATCTTGAGACTACTCCATGTGCCTTCCTTGAGGTATAAATATAATTTAATTAATTTCTATTCCGTTTGTATTTATGGTTATTTGAATTGACAATTTTGCCCTTTAGTATGTTGATCAATCAGTGACTATCAAAGCATGTGTTGGTCTTAATGGAATGAAATTGGGTGGTCAACTCTTGACTGTAACTCAAGCAACTCCAGATAATACTTCTTCAATGGTAAAAACTAAACTAAACTAAAATCTCATTTTCTTCATTAAATAATTCCAATTTTGCCCCTCATATTTAATAAACGTCATTAGGAAAAAAATCATGGAGACAATGACCACCCATTTTATGGTACACCAGCACACGCACAACCGCTTCTCCAGAAACAAACACAAGTCCTCAAGCTCAATAATTTGGTATGTTAAATTTAGAATCTATTTTCTTTTATTATTTAAATAGTTAAATTTATTTAAATAACTCATTATTTATTTTTTAACTAAATAGGTGGACCCACAGAGCCTATTGTCACTCTCTGAACAAGAATTTGAAGAAATAGTAGAAGATGTTCGCCTCGAGTGTTCCAGGTCTAACCTCATCACACCCTATTTTCAGTGGAGGGTATTTTCGTCTTTTTGCTTAGTTTTTAATGTAATGTGTTGTAGGTTTGGCATGGTGAAATCGGTTAATATTGTGAAGCCAACCTTATCAGATAAAGAGCCACCGCCGCCTGAAGAAGAAGATGTGGCGGCTCCTACTGGCGGCAGTGATGGTGGTGGCGTGGTGGTGGAGGAGAGGTTTGAGGGTGGTTGTGTGTTGGTGGAGTATAAAAGAATAGAAGCTTCTACAATGGCAGCTCATTGTTTACATGGAAGGGTTTTTGATGGAAGAATTGTGAGTGTGGAATATGTTGAACATGATGTTTATTGTGGTAGGTTTGAAAAATGAGGATTTTGTAATTTTTGTTGATTTTTTTAAAAGTATTTTTGTAATTTGGGTGTATTAAGGATGTTGGTTTTGTAGATGGATTTTTGCAATTAATGTTTTGATGAATATTAGTTAAACTTGCCGTTTTTGGAAAGGTGTAGGGGGTAGGGTAGGGAATAAAGGTTTTGAAATTTGGAGTGTGAGAATGATTATAGTTGATGGAAATGGAGAAAAATTGCACATGATGTGGTGTGAAAATCAGAAAATGTACAATTTGTTTTTTTTTACCAAGTTTTGTTTGTCTTACTCACTTTCGGTAAATGACAAATTTAAAAGTTGAATTAAGAAAAAGGTAAATAATACCATTTATAGTTAGTTGGGTGGTTGATTTGTTATTATTAGGGTTTAAAAAATATTTATTTTGATTATTTTCAATTAGTGTCTTCAAATAGTTATGAAGTAAATTACAATAATAGTTCATATCTTATGTCCAAAATTATGGATTTAGTTTATAACTTCATATGTTTTATTTGTTGTACCATTAGTCACTTTGGTCATTTCATATTCTTCACTTGTTTTTCTCTCCATTTAAGTTTCAATGACAACGTGTGTTTTGTTTTGTGAAGATAAGTGCACAATGGGGAAAAAGACAAATGAATAAGATGAAGTATAAAAAAAGGAGAAAAGAAAATAAGTGTTTTCAAGATACATAAGAGAGAGAAGGGGAGATGACCAAAGTGATGTCATCACATTATGTGCACAATGCGCAAATGATGTGAGGATAGCACTTATGATGTCTTAATAGGGACTATGAAGTGTTAGATTTACTTACAATAGACTAAAATAGCAACGAAATGAAACTTTAGTGACTAATGATGCAGCAAATGAAATATTTGGAACATATCCATAACTTCTGACAAACACGAGTGATAACTCTTATAATTTACTGTTAACTTTTATTTAATTTCTAAAAAGTTTGTAAATAACTAATTATTTATATCCAATTACAAAATTCATGTTAACATGTAAGAATAAAATAATTTGGTAATGTAACTAATATACTTTGGACGATTTTCGACATCATCGACTTTGTTTCTCAATAAGAAAAGACATTTTTATTGAGCTCATTTAAGAAGAGTATATCTTCAAATAATAAGTAAATATAGATACTAAGAAAAATATAGCCTCAAACAATAAGTAAATTGATAGACTTTCATCTCTAACCATAACGATGACGTTCACTTGATGTCATCCTTCGTATGGTCTTAGAAAATAAAAAGTTCACTTTTTTTTATCGATAATTATAACTTTTTGTTATAAGTTATGTTGGTTCTTAGAAGGAGGGACTTCACTTAAGTTGATTTTATCCTTCGTATCATTTTAGAATAATTATGTATGATTATATGTTCATATAGGAAGAATTTTATATGTCCTAAATAAACAACAAAATATTATATTTGCAATGCCTAATTTCTAAGGCTGGAGGGAGTGGGACTCGCGTTCAGCTCGTTATAAATGCTAAACCCACTCCCAACAACTGCTCGCTAAGAATTGTGCGCCATCCCACTAGCGAGATGAAAGAGAAGTGAAAGAGAGGAGAAATGACTCTAATTGGCTGATCATTTTTTCTTTTTCTTTTTTATTTTTATTTTCAAAATAAAATAACATAAAATTTAGTTGCTCCCACTCCCTACAAATTTACAACTTCATGTTATCATCATCTTATCCTATGTGGCTTAAAAAAAATCCTATGTGGAAGCATACTAAACATGCTACCACTCCTTATAGTATATATATATATATATATATATATATATATATATATATATATATTATATATATATATATATATATATATATATATATACCTTAAATAAGTTTCCAAAATATCATAGTTTGCCAAATCATACTTTTTTTTAAATATAATTTTAAACATTTTTATAATCAGTCATTGTAATTTTAATTATAAACTTTTTTAGAATACCCATAATACTCATTTTCTATTTTCTAGGATACATGATATATGAATTCTGAAACACTAATCAGAAATACAAACGACGTGAGGAAACGACCCAGTAGCGATTCAATCATCATATACGTTGTCGCTGCCATACGGTAGATGAAATCGCTACTACACGTCGTTCTCTCCTGCATCGGTCCCTCGCTTCATTTGTGTTTTCAATTCGTATTTCAAAATTCATATATCATGTATTCCCATAAGATACAAGACATGTATTCCAATAAGATACAAGAGGGGTATTATAGGTATTCCATTTTTTATAATTATAATGGTTCTAAATTACAATAAATGATTATAAAAATGTTTAAACATTTAATAAAATAGGATATTTTAAAATTTTATTTATCATATATATGATATTTAAATATTATTTTGAACAAATATAATATTGTACTGTTTATTTAAAGATATAAACTGCTACGATATATTATCAATCTTTGCACAAATCTTGAGTGTTACTTAAAATGACATTACCTTTTATGGTTATCAACTTGGAAAAATGTTGGAAAGTTAGATAAACTTTCCTTTTCAAATGATTGACTAGAAATTCAAATTTTTATATTTCTATAATGATTTAGGGTCATCTTGTCTTTTTACATTAAATACATGTCAATTTCATTTTCGAGGATAATGAAATCACAATCACCTGATTTATTGGAATCTAGTTAATATTGATGTTACCAAAGATGAGGAAGATCCATCTAAGATATGTGAAGCATGATGGAGGTTACCCCCATCAAATATAGTTTGGATCACAACTTACACCTGCAAATTCACAAGAAGAAAAATAATACCAACTTCCCCAACAAAACGGATAAAAGTAATACCTTATACTTTCTTGCATAAGGCGTGGCTATACACACAAACTTACAACATACCAAAAGATAAAAATATGGCTACTAAATGGAATCATATAGTTTTTGCTGTATTTTCCATATTTTCACTTTCCCGTTTATATGTGGTTCATCTAGATGGCTAGATCATTTTAAAAACAAATCATAAATACATAACTATATGTACATATAACTTGTTGTAAATTTTGTATGATACACATCACATCTGGACATGCCAAAGAGAAAATAAAGTCACTGCTAGATGATCTCACAACAATGTAGCGGTTAACTATATTATTTTGTCTATCTTTGCTCCGGAAGGTTTTTGCTAGATTGATGCTAGATGATCTCACAATGATGTAGCAACAAACTAGACTATTTTCTTTATTTTCCTCTAGATGGATGTTAGATGATCTAGAAGTTCACCCCTTCAAGGCGACATGGTTGTGTGACTTGATGTCATAGCCAACCATCTATGGGCGTAGTTCTTATCTATGGGCGTAGTTCTTTCCCATAGTTTCTTTCTATTAGTTCATGGTATATCCATGTTTTCGGTCTTTCATTTCGTTCACCTATAATTCAACTTGCATTCCCTGTTGTTTGATTGTTGGTCATAATTATGTACGCTGCCTCTCTAATGGTAGAACCAAGCTAAATGATCGTGTCTCGTATTGATTTGTTTCCTATATTTGTTCATTTTCTTTTATTGCTCTCATTATTAGACATTTTTATTGTTTTCTGCATCCTACTTTATAGTTTGTCGCAGTTGTTAGGTTTTAAATTTTTTCTACCAGACCAAGTGTTTGATATATCTTTGAGATATGTTTGGATTGTGTTTGGTAGTCGTTTGATCTACCTTAAGATCCCCAACAAGTGGTATCATATCATCTACATTTTCGTTGGAGTGCTTTTGGGGATTTCTTTATTTCAAGAGTTTTTTTTTTTACTTTTTGCTACCCGATCATCATCATATGTTGATCTAGTGTGTTATGTCCACAAGCTCATATAAAGAGGTGTCTAAAGAACCTATGGAGGTGGTAATGAGCCAGAAGAAGCTAACGAGGTTGTCGAAGCTAATGACATGAAGGAGAATGATTTCAAATGAGTGGATGATGGTGTGTCAAACATGAACAGGTGAAACCAAAGGTTGAGACTTTTGAGTGTGGTTGTGTATTGGTGGAGTATACAAGTGGAACGCCCGTGAGTTCGTGCCAGATGTTTAAGGGATTATAATTACGAATATTCATTTTATTGAATAATTAAAATCCCCAAGTAAGATAATCGTTAATAAATATGAATCATTCCTATGTAATTTGGGTTATATAAGGGTTAATTTATTGTGTACATGTTATATATACAAATATTATGAGCTTATAATATTTCTATAAAAACTTATTATAAACTTAACGAATTATGTTAAATAATATTTATAATAAAAATATTATTTTGAATAAATGATCTTAATGAAAGTTGTAGTAGCCGTGATTACGAACTCATGAATATAAAAAACACAAAAATCTGACGATTTTTTGAAGTTGCGCCTCCGTCAGAGGGCGTCAGTATTTGCTGTAAAATACGAAATGAAAATATTTTGCTCGTTAGCAAAAATGATGTAAAGAAGAGTCAATGTGCTCGTAAATACGAATATGTAAATAAAAATGTCAATATAAAGAAGGTCGGTTGTAGCAGGGTAGGAAGAAGACACAGGAATTACCACTTGGTAGTTTTGGTCCCTTGGGTTTGGCGTGATTTCAAATAATACCCCATGCACGAATTATCTAACCAAATTAACTTATGAAAATTACTAAATGAACCCTAGATTTAAATATCCTACACATTTCAAATAAATTAATTCATTTTTATTATTATTATTATTATTATTATTATTATTATTATTATTATTATTAATTTAACCCCTTTACATCTATATAATAATGCATACTTAATTCACTTGTCAACCTAAAAAAATACTTTTTAATTAAATATCTATTCATTATTATTTACTAACCCTATTTAGAAATCATTAAATGCAAACACGAAGACCTCTCTTGCTATGGAAAGTGGTTGATTTAGTTCTCTGATTTATAGTTATAGGGATGTATAAAGAGTTATTTAGAAATGAGTTTTTATTCATTGTGCTGGCCCTTTCAGGAATGCTCGGTTGTTTGCGTCTACAAAACCAATGATGAAAACTTTTTTTTGATAAAATAGTTACACATTATTATTTGTGGTGTAATGTTAGAAGTAGA